CCTCCCCCTCGCCCTCGCCCTCGCCCTCGCCCTCGCCCTCCTCCTCCGCAGAATGCTCGAAGCCCGCTCCGGTGCGGCGCCGCTTGCCGCCGCTGCCGCCGCCGCCGCCGTTCGCGACGTCTCCCCCGTGGCCCTCGGTGGAGCCGGCGGCGGCGGCGGCGGCTGCGGCTGCGGCGGGCTCCTCGCCGTTACGGCGCCGCTTCGGCGCCGCGCGCCCCGCCGCCCCGGCCGCCGCCCCGCCCGCCGGCCCGCCAGGGTCCAGCGGCGACGGGCTCCGCAGCCGGTGCGCAGCGCGGTGCGTGCGGCGGCGGCGGCAGCGGCGGCAGCGGCGGCAGCGGCTCGGACGCAGCCGCCGCCTCTGGCAGCGAGAGGAGGAGGAGGAGCGAGTCGGCGACGGAGCTTCCGACGAAGAGAGTGGTGCCGGCGCCTGTACACGGCCACCGCGCAGACGCGATGAGACGCCGCTCACAGCTGCTTTCGGCGAGGGGCGGCGGCGCGCTGCCGCAGCCGGCGGGTGGCGGGCCCAGCGGGGCGAGGCACCTCGCGGGCGAGGACGTCGCGACCTATCAGTGGCGACCTATGAGTTAGCGACGGGACCAGCGAATGCGGCGCGGAGCAGCGGCGACCCAAGTAGAGCGGCCGAGGGCGACGGGCTGAGGGGGCGGTCAGCTGTGTGGATGTGTGCGTGTGCGTGTGGGCCCATCCTCCGTGCTTTACGACGGTCGGACTTTGGCGAGCGGCTCTCGATGGCGACGACTCCCCCGCCTCGAGCGGCGCTCGTGGGCGGCGCAGCCGAGTCGGGCGTCGCATTCTCTCGGCCAGGCTCGAATGCGGTGGCGAAAGAGATGGGGCGTACGGTGGGGGAGGAGGCGGAGGAGGAGGCGGAGGAGGCGGCGGAGGAGGCGGCGGAAAGGGCAGTGGAGGAGGCGACGGTGCAGGCCAAGGCGACTCCCCCGCGCTTACTACATGCCTGCATGTGTCTGCACCCTGGCGTGTGTGCCTGTGCCCCCCTCCTGCGCCCCCCGAAGTCCGTCCTTGCGACTCTCGCGACCTCCCTCGGCGGCCACTGCGGGATCACATCTCGGCTCGATCTCGGCACGATCTCGGCTCGATCTCGGCTCGATCTCGGCTCGACCTTGAGCGGCTCGATGGCGACGAGGCGGCCGCGCGCCGACGCGAGGCAGAGGATGAAGAGCTCGCCTATCATTGACAGTATTAGCGATCAACTATGCGTTGTTCCTTGCTAATGAAGAGGCACAGGGTGTCGAGCTCGCCCGAGTGAAGTGAGAGGGCGACGCGCGGCGCGGCGCCTAGTACCATACCTCCAGAAGTCCCGAACCCAGCGTGGGTTCAGGCTCCATGGGTGGTGTGGTAGCAAGCGGGCGCCGGCCGCCGCGGCGGGGAGCAGCGCCGCCGCGGCGCCGCGAAGGGAGAGAGTGAGCGACGGGGGACCATCCACCAGCGGCGTCGCCTCGCAGCGAGCCTCTCCGTTGAGAGCGACGCCGTGGGAGTGGACCTGCGCGGAACAACGAGGGAGCCGATGAGGAAGGCGTGGCGGTGGATGGGACGAAGAAGAGCGAGAATGAGGGGGCCTGGTCCAGCCCGACCAGCGCAGTGTCACAACAATGATAGCAGGGCACAAGGATTGTCGTGGTGGTAATAAGATTCATCTTGAGGGATGGTACTAAGAAGAGCAAGAATGAGGGGGCCTGGTCCAGCCAGAGCGGCACGCCGTGTCAGAATGGCGAGAGTCAATGATACAGGAACGGTGGTGATAACGACAACGTGAAGAAGAGTGAGTGGAGCGGGCCTGGTCCAGCCAGATCAGCGCGTTAACAACGATGATAGCCAGTGATACCGGAATGATGGTGGAAAGAATAAGATTCATAATCATGAGGGGGCCTGGTCCAGCCAGACGAGCGCGTTGTCGGACACCACAAGCGCCCCTCCCAGCGGCAGCGGAAGCGGCAGCAGCGCCGTCGAGTTGGAGGGGAGGCCTAGGGAGTTGGAGTTGGAGTTGGAGCTCGAGTTGGAGTTGGAGTCGGAGGCCGTCGAGTTGGAGGAGAGGCCTTGCCGGCGCCAGAGCAGCGCGCCGGTGCGTGGGAGCGGGGACAGGACTAGCGCGCCAACCTGCAGGCACAGGAAGTGCCTCGGAAGTGTCTCGGAAGTGCTCGGAAGTGTCTCGGAAGTGCCTCGGAAGTGCCTCGGAAGTGTCTCGGAGGTGTCTCGGAAGTGCCTCGGAAGTGCCTCGGAAGTGCCTCGGAAGTGCCTCGGAAGTGTCTCGGAAGTGTCTCGGAAGTGCCTCGGAAGTGCCTCGGAAGAGCCTCGGAAGTGTCGAGGGAGTGTCGCCCCCACCTCGCACGTCGACGGGTTCCAGCGCGTATCCGGCGGCGGCTGACGGCGGTCGGACCGGCCCGGCCACGTCTGGCGAGGGTCGGCGAGGACGAGGGCGGTCGGCGTCGCTCGGCCGTGGAGGAAGCCGACGTCGATGGCGTGGTGGAGGGAGACGTCGCCGTCCAGAGGCACGCGGTACATGCTGCGGCGGCCGGTGGCGCCGCCGCCGCTCCCGCGCTCCGCAGCGCCGCCCGCGCCGCCGCCCGCGCCCGCGCCCGCAGCCACGCTGGCCGCGATCGCCGCCGCCGCGTTGGCAGCATTCGCCGCCGTCGCCGCCGCCACAATCGCGCCCGCGACGACGCTGCTTCCTCCCTCCGCAGCGGCGCCGGCGGCAGCAGCGCCCGCGTTTGCGGCGGCGTTTGCGGCGGCGGTGGCGACGGCGGCGGCGCCGTCTGTGGCGGAGGCGCCGGAGGAGCGCTCCTCGGGTTGCGCCACGTGGGTGCCTAAGGGTGGCGACGCTTTCTTTTTTCTATCGGTGGCGACGACGGTGCCGGCGCCGCAGCGTCGGGGAAGGGCTTCGTGCAGGGGCTGCGAGCACCGCCGCATGCAGCTGGGTAGGGGAGTGTGTCCGGGATGGACGCGAGGTGCGGGGAGGTGTGGGGAGACGTGCGGAGATGTGCGGAGATGTGCGGAGATGGGCGGAGATGTGCGGAGTTCCGCATATGGGCACGGGTTTGCCGACGCATGTCGCGTCCAGCGGCACGGCGAGCAGCAGGGTGGAGAAGGCGAGCATGAGGCCGACCTCTCCCGTCGGGTCGCACCGCAAGCGGACGGGCAGAGGCGCGTCGCGCGGGCCGAGCTCGGCGGCGAGGGCGTCGAAGGAGAAGGAGGCCCGCGTGCGCAGCGTGCCACTCACCTCGTCCAGCTCGAGCAGGCTCAGCTTGGCAGGCTCCACGCCAAGCAGCAACGCGTCCGCCCGTGAGCCGGGGCGGCGCCAGACCGCGAGGCCAACCGCGCGCCCCGCGAGCGGCTCGCGCAGCCGCAGCCGCAGCGCGGCGCCGCCCGGCCCGGCCCGGCTGACCGCCCTCACTGCCCCGGACTGCGGCGGCCTCGTGCCGGCGATCGTGTAGATCTCGAGCAGTGTGCCGCGCGTGAGGATGAGGGACGGCTGCTCGCCCGGCGCGAGCACCGCGGACACGGCGTACTCGACGACTGTCGGGCTCACGAGCGGGTAGTCGATCATCGCAGCTGTATTTCTTTGCTGTGAGAGAGAGTTGTCTTGTTTAAATTCTTTGTTTTTCAGCTGTATTTCTTTTGAGCTTAGCGTTCGATCTTATGTATTTCTTTTTAAACAGAGAGTTGTAAATTCTTTTTTCTTTTCTTTACGGTTTTCTTAGCGACGTAAAATACCCGCAATACCAGGTGTATTTTATTTTGCTGGGGCGGACATCATGATGAAATTCAACAATATACCTACATGATGAAATTCTGCAAAAATAGCCGGGGCAGTCGGAGAAGGAAGGGGCAACTCCGTGCACTGACGGACGGTCGGCCGCCAGAAAACACGCCTGCGTGGATCGCGTCACACCTCGCTACCCAACGCGGCCAAAGGATATCCACCTCGAGAACCTCGAGAGACGACCATCCCCCGCGTAGCGAAATAAATTGAAAACCCGCCGCCTTCGCCACTGCCTTTCGCAAACGTATATTTATGCATGTGTGTGTGTGTGTTTATAATGGCGCGTTTCGCTCACGCCGCCGTCCTCGCGCCGGAGCATCTCACGCCAGAGCATCTCAAGCATGACCGTCCTCGTCGTCGCCGCTCTCCCTCCTGTCTCTTGCGTGCACGCCGGCAGCGAGTGGCGGGCAAGGGCCATACAGCGGCCTCGCTGCTGCAGCGCTGCGGTGAGGGCCCAGCGCTTCTGCTCTTGCTGCTGACGACCCTCTATCGCGCACCAACGATCCTGGGCGTCTGGCTACAAGACCTCGCGCGGCGCCACCACCTTTGTCGTCGTCCTCACCGCCGCCATGCTCGCCGTCACGCTGGCCGTCATCCTCGTATCGACGGTCAGCGCCGCGAGGGTGAAGACCATGCGGCTCGTTTCCTCGAAGCGCGAGCCGATGCGCGACGGCATCACCCTCGCCGACGGCCAGCAGTGGCACCTCTTCCTCAGCCACGTCTGGAGCACGGGGCAGGTTTGCCCCGCCCAACTTGCCCCACCGCGTTGTCTGTGCAGAGACGATACCTAACCGGCTCTTCCTCCCTTCCTTGTAGGACGCCGTCGCAGTCATCAAGAATGAGCTCCTACAGTTCCTTCCCGGCTGCGAGATCTTTCTCGATGTCGACGACCTCAAGAACATCGGAGAGCTGGAGGCGTACATTGGTCGCTCGCAGGTGGTGCTCTGCTTCCTGTCGCGGGGCTACCTGCGCTCCACGAACTGCTTGCGCGAGGTCCGCGCCGCGCTGGAGAAGGGCAGGCCGCTCGTGCTCGTCCACGAGGCAGACCCGGACAAGGGCGGAGGCACGCTCGCCGAGCTGCGATCGGAATGCCCCGAGGAGCTGCAGGCCGCCATCTTTGACGCCGGCTGGCCGATGGTGGTGTGGCATCGCATCGAGGCCTTCCAGCACGCCTCGCTCAAGCTCATCGCCGAGGCGCTGCTGCTGAAGACGCCAAAGTACGCGGGCGAGAACGAGCTGCCCCTGTGCATCCCGGGCGAGGTTCGAGCCGACAGCCTCGCCTCCACCAAGCCGGTGCTTCTCTGGGCCTCGACTTTGAACGCCGGCGCGCGAGAGCTCGCCGCTGCGGTCGCGGCGGCCGTGGCTGGCGGCATCTCTATCACCGACGCAGCGCCCTCGCGCCTCACCTCGCTGCCTCGCGCCTCGCGATCTTCGCGCCTCTCCACGCTCCTCCCTTCGCTACCTCGCACGAGAAAAGAAGGCGACGACGAGGCGACGCACATGCTACTCTACCTGAACAGGTCGACGTGGGCCGGCGATGGCGCCGCGGCGCTCGCAGAGCAGGTGCGCGCCGCGCGCCGTGTCAGGCTGCCTCTCGTCATGGCGCACGAGAATGACGCCGCCCGCGGCGGCTGCATCTTTGGCCACTTTTTCGAGGTGACGCCACGCGACCTGATTGTCGATGGGCTGTACAACGACATCGCGGTCGGCTGCCATTCCGACCCGCACCGCCAGGTGTCGCTCGCCCTCCTCGCAAAGGCGCTCGGCGCGACCAAGCAGACGGCCCAGTCGCGCGTGCGCCGCGTCTTTCTCGCTCAACCGACGCAGAATCGTGGCACAGAGCCGCGGGAGCAGTCGGTGGGCGACCAGGTCGCGTGAGCTGAGCGCAGAGTGCACACTGCACTCTGTGCACAACCGATACAGTCCGTCTATAGTTAGTTGTCTGCTCGTCACGCCTACAGCTACACTCGGCCAGTCGGTGTGTGTGGAGGAGCGCGAGAGTTCGTGCGAGCACATTTTCGCGGTTTTGAAAAGAGATCTCTCTCAGCACGGGACACAGCTAGACACACACTACCACGATACACACGACCGCTCTCGAACACGTCCGACGTGGCACCAACGGCTTGCTCGCTAGAGGCTCGCGCTCTATAGCCAACGCAATGCCGCTGGTCGCCCGAGGCCGAACTCTCTCAGCTCTAGCGCGAGAGGGGATCGCGCACACCGAAGCTATCACGGCATCGCGTCGAGCTGGCTCATGTCGCGGACCTGTTCACAGACACGCCGGCTGTGAGGAGACGCCGTTCACACCTCGGCGCTGCCGGCTCGCGTCGCGCGCGCGCCATGTTCTTGTGGTGCGACTCGAGCGTGCCTCCGCCGATCTCGAGCAGCTTCGCGTCGCGCCAGAGCCGCTCGACCGCGTACTCGCCCATGTAGCCGTACCCGCCCATCACCTGCAACAACCACCACCACCACTCACTACTCACCACCACCACACTCGCCCATGTAGCCGTACCCGCCCATCACCTGGATCGCGCGGTCGGCCACGTTCTTGCCCATCGTCGTGCAGTAGAGCTTGACGCCTGGAGGTGTGAGGAGGCGCCGTTCACACCGCCAGCACTCTCTTCACACCCATCGCCGTGCAGCAGAGCTTGGCGCCGTCCGTGTCCAGCCGGTTGCCCGCAGCGTCGAGGTCGAGCCCGAGCGCCGTCTGGTACAGGTAGGTCTTGCCCGCCATGTACTCGGCGTACGACTCGGCAATGTGCCTGCTCGCAGCTCTGCAGGCGTGAAGAGGCGCTGTTCACACCCATGCAGCTCCTTCGGACAGGTGCCTCTGGATCTGGCCAAAGTCGCGCAGCGAGGCGCCGAAGGCGCGCCGGTCCGTCGCGTACGCATTCATCGCCTGTTCACAGGACTGGAGGTGTGAAGAGACGCTGTTCACAGCGCCGGCCCGTCGCGTGCACCGCCTCGAGGGAGCGGCGGGCGATGCCTGAGATGTGGGGAGAGAGGGGGAGAGATGGGGAGAGATGGGGAGAGATGGCGCCTCGAGCGAGCGGCGGGCGATGCCCACGCCCATCGCCGCGAGCACGACGCGCTCGATCTCGAGGTTGCGCATCATGCAGACCTATCCGTCCACCAAGCGGCTCCTCCGCGCTGGTTCAAAGAGAGAGACTGGCTGGGCGCTCGTGCAGGCTCTATGCAGGAGGTGGGCGAGTCGTCCGCTGGTTCAAAGAAGGGAGCCGCTCCTCTCTCCAGGAAGCGCATCGGTGCTCACCGTCGCGCCGCCCGGCTGGCCGATGAGGTTGGCGGCGGGCAGCGGCACGTTCTCAAACACGAGCTCGGCGGTGGGGGACGCGCGCATCCCGCACTTGTCCTTGAGCCGCTGCCTGTTCACAGCTGCAGCTGTGAAGAGACGCCGTCCACAGCACGCCGCGCTCGCGCTTGGAGCCGCTGCCCCAGGCTGAAGCCGGCCATCCCGCGCTCGACGTAGAAGAGGGAGACGGCCTTGGACGCCTTCACCTCCGGCCCGGCCGTGCGCGCGTAGATGAGGTACCTGTTACCATGAGGTACCTGTTACCGCCCTAAACCCATCGGCCCCGCACCTCCGTCTGTCTCGCTGCCGAGCGTCGGCGGTGGGTGAGGGAGAGAGAGAAGGGAGGGAGAGAGAGAGAGAGAGAGAGAGCGCGAGCAACCCAAGCCTCCTTTGGGACACCTCTGCCCCGCTCACTAGCCGTGCGCCGGTGGTGGGTGTTGTTGCTTCCTCTCAGCCGACGACTACGACTACTGCTACTGCTAGAAACGATGAGGCACCGGTCGCCCAGCTCCGTGTCCGAGACGGCGCCGTTGGTGATCCACATCTTACCTCCGTTGAGCAGCCAGCTCCCGTCCGCCTGCTCACAGCTCTTCGCTCCACACCTCTTCTCTTCACAGCGGTCTTGAGACAGCCCCCGCCCGCCTGCTGCTCTGCCCGCGTGCGCATCCCCAGCACGTCCGTCCCCGCCTCCGGCTCAGACATGCCCATGCCGCCAATCGCTTCGCCAGAGCACGCGGCAGGGAGCCAGGCGGCCTGCGCGAAGGGCGGCGGGCAGGTCACGAGGTCACGCCGCCGGACAGGGCGTGGAGAGGGAAGGGCGTGGACAGGTAGTGGGCGGCGGCCCTGGCGGCCGGTGGAACGAGCGATGGACGCGTGAGGCGCAGGGCAGGGGAATGTGACGGAGAGGTCGTGGCGGGCCTTCTGCTCGGCGGAGCCGTTGCGCGCGAGGTTGTTGACGAAGAGCTGCGAGTGGGCCAGGTACGAGAGGCAGAAGGCCGGGTCCGACGCCGACAGCTCCTCGTGCACGATGCAGGCCGCCGCCGCGTCCATGCCCGCGCCGCCGTACTCGGGGTCGACGGTCACGCCGAGCAGCCCGAGCTCGCCGGCGCGGCGAAAGAGCGGGTGGTTGAACCGCTCCGCCCGGTTGAACTCGAGCGCCTGCGGCTCCACCTCGTCCCGCACGAACGCGGCGCACAGCTCGCGGAGCGCATAGTGCTCCGCGGTCGGGTTGAAGAGGGAGCCCTGCGGCTCGGCGTCGTCGGCGACGCCGACCGCCGCCGTCGAGCGCGCGCGAGACAAGACCGCGCGGCCGGGGAGCCGGCGGGCGGACGCGGGAGCTGACCGGAGCGACCGGGCGACGGCGGACGACATGGCGCGAGTCCCTTGGTTGAAGGCGGAAGAATTTATGCGCTACGTGTGGGGGGCGACAGGTTCTCGAGGTTCTCGAGGTGGATATCCTTTGGCCGCGTTGGGTAGCGAGGATTGGTGTAACCCGAGCCACGGAGGCGTGTTTTCTGACGGCCGACCGTCAGTGCACGGAGTTGCCCCTTCTCCGACTGCCCCGGCTAGTTCCCGAGTTTCGCGGGAGTGACCCCATGCGTCAAACCCGAGACCTAGCGCGGGTGGGTTGGAGGGGGCTCGCCCCGTTCCTCCCCATCGGGCCGCATGTGCGGCCACGCCTCGCAGATTCGTTTCTCGCGCCTGGGTCAGGCGCGCGGGGCATCCCCCGGGTCGCTCGACCAGCGGTCCGAAGAGTGGCCGCTATGCGAGGGAAAGAGCGGGGCCCTCGACGCCTCAGTCCGGCGACAGGGGGGGGCGTCCCTCCCTTGGGTTGTGTGTTTTCTTTCTTTCTTTTAGGGGGGGGCGTATAGACTCGAGGGGCCAGGATACGCCGCGAGGAGGACGGAGTTGCGCCGAAAGGCGAAAGAAGCCGCGAGAACAAGGGATGCCGGCGCTTTTGCACGAAGCTAGGGCTCAGTTCCGTCTTCCTCCCCCTCGCTCCTGTAGGCAGGCCGCCCCGCGCAGGCGGGAAGAGGCGCGCCGAGCCATCGGTGACGTCCTGGCGAGCTCATGTCCCCCAAAAAGGTCGCACCCGCCCGTGGCTCCGCCGTCGGCTCCGCCGCGAGCGGCGACGGTGAGGCCGCCGGGGCTCGCCTATACCGGCTAGTGTGGAGCTCTCAGTGTGGTTGCGTGTTGTACTAGTGATGCTGCACTAGGCGGCCCGTTTTTAGCAAAAACCAGATACCACATCGCGCGTGGTCATCGAAAAACCGCATGTTCGCCCGTCTGGGACCTCTTCGTACGGCTCCAAAAACCGCTCCTTAACGACGACTACGCGGCCGGAAAATTTGATGGTTTCCCCGGGAAAATAGAGAGGAAAAGAGAGGGTGCTGTATAGAAAAAACGAAAGGAAAAGAGACGGGGTGCGAGCGGAAAAGTATATACAGCCTAACGTGTAGAGAGCCACAGGGGTGACGAACGCGTCGCCGCGGACGCGGTAGACCACGGCCGCGTACCTGAGGTCGAGCGGGCGCGGCGCCGAGGTGCGCGAGCTGCGAGGTGACGGCGAGCAGCGTCTGCTGGATACTGGCGATCTCGTCGCTCATGGAGGAGCCGCTCCACCCCCACGAGCCTTACCGTCTCAATTCCTCGGGGCGCTACGCCCGACTAAGTCAAGTACTCCAACTGAGTGATCTATTTATTCAAGTGCTCCAAGTGCCGCCTCTCACAACACTAGGCACGGGGCTGGCGCGCACTGGCACTAACACCAGTCCCGTGCCTTGAAAAGAACTCTCACAACCTAGCTCACAACTCAAGCACGAGCGGAGTTACGCCGAGAGGCGAGAGAAGCCGCGAGAGCAGCAAGGCATCGGCAGGCGGCGTCGCAGACAGAACGAGGCCGAGGAGAGCGATGAGTCAGAGGATGAAGCGGCAGGTGGCCCAGGAGAGAGAACGACGAGAGTGGGAAGACCGCGAGGCGGCATGAAGGTCGCTGCGAGAATCGGCCTATTGGCGAGAGACTGCGAAGAGAGATAGGAAGAGGCAGACGCCCGAGGGTGGGCGACGGCTAGCACCACACAGACTCCTCTCCTTATACCTTAAATCCCTGTGTGGTGGCGGCGTGCCGTCCTCCCATCTGAGCCCTGGCTGTCAGGCTGTCAGGTGCTGTCAGGTTATCTGTCAGGCTGTCGCGGGCTCTGAACTGTCAGGCAGACTATCGGGTCAGGTGCTGCCAGTGCTGCCAGTGCTGGTCTGACATGTCGCTAGGTCCTCCCGTGCTGTCGGGTGCTGTCGGAGCTGTCGGGTGTGGCTGTCGGACGCTGTCGGAGCTGTCAGAGCTGTCAGGCTGCTGCTGGGTGCTGGCTGCTGCTGTCACAGGCGTGGGGCCCCGGTGCTGTCCCGGGTGCTGTCGGTGGTGAGCTGTTGGGGTGCTGTCAGGCTCTGACACACCAGCCACACTTATGACACTACAAGAGGAGGACAGCAGCCAAAGTGAGAGTAGATCCACACTCAGCAGGACTCACATACTCTGCCTCCGGTCCCACCATCTTTTTCAATGGTGGACGTAGAGAGGGTTACGCAGAGGGGGGGCGTGGTTCGGCCGTGAGGTGTACGTTTCCTTCAAGCCTGTCGGCCGGTGATCAAGAGCGGCTCAACTACCTGCTCAGCGCCCTCGCGTGGCCAGAAGAGCACGAGCGCCACGCCGAGCAGCGCCACGATGCTGCCGACCCAATCGCCGGTGTCGGGCACAATCCCGTCGAAGAGGTACCCCCACACGAAAGACAGGCCGATGAAGACGCCGCCGTACACGGCGTACAGTCTTCCGAAATCGTTCAGCGGTTGCAATGTCGGCACAAACCCATACAGCATCAGCACCGCACCGCCAGCGACCGCCCACCACCACGGCTTCTGCTCGCGCACGGCCTGCCAGACAAGCCATCCGCCGCCGATTTCTGCGACGCCGGCGACGAAGAAGAGGATGCTCACGTACGCAATGAGCGAGTAGCTCCACTGCATGTGTATGAGAGCCGGCGCAGCGCTCAGGCCGGGTTTTGGGAAGGGCCGGTACCACAGGAGTTCGTACCGATACTGAAAAAAAGAAAAAAATATTTAACGGTGTGCGGGCGCGGAAGGCTTGTTGGCGAGCCAAAATGCTGTTTTCCGAGGCGCTGCGCTAGGCTCAGAGCGAGTTCGCGCTGCGCTAGGCTCAGACGGCGAGTTCGCGCTGCGCTAGGCTCACAGATGGCGAGTGCGCTGCGATAGATTTGCGCTGCGATGAAAAAGACCCCGTTATAGGAGCCGATAACCCAAGGGAGGAAACGCCGCGTTTTCTTCTTGCGTCCAACTCCGGCCAGTTGGTCCACCAGCATGGCAGCCTCCAGCGACCTGCAGGCTCTGCAGCTTCAGAATCGGAACCTGCAGCAAAAGCTCGACTGGAAGCAGCTCTCAAGATCAACCAGCGCGACAAGCACATTCGCGATCTCCGCGACGCGACGCCGGCGCGCGCCGCCGACCTCGAGCGCCTCGAACGGTCGCTCTGCCGGCTCTCGTTGCAGATGGAGCACATGCAGCTCGTCATAAAAAAACCGGAGTGGTCGTTTCACACCTTTGCGATGCCGGAGAAGACCGCCTCCTCGGCGCACACCATCTTTGTCCGACCGCCCAGCGGGAACAGGCTCGAGGTCACAATCCCGCCGGGCAAGCTGCCGGGCGACATCTTCACCGTGATGCTCAAGGACGAGGACGCGCGTACCCGCGCACGCGGCGCCGCCCGCGGCGCCCGCGCACTCCGCGCCGCCGCCGTGCGCTGCTCAGGACACTCGGCATACGAGTCTGCGAGACCCACACCGGACGTGGCGCCTTGCTTGATAACAGACACGCCCAAGCCTGTTTGTCTGTCTGTCTGTCTGTCTGTCTGTGTCTCGCGCCTGCTTGCTCCGCGGTTGCCTGTGAAATGTCAATCAGCTCCGTCTACTCTCGTGCAACTCAAAATAGAAGAGGTGTTGGCGTTCAAACCCGGCCCGTACCGACGACAAAAGGCGAGCTACTACGCTTTGCTATTGAAACCCGGCTGCCGGAAACGGATAAATAAGCGAGCGCGTCCCGGTGTGTCGCGTCGAGCCTCTCGCCCCTCACTGTTGGCACGCTGCTGATGCCAATGGATCTTGAGATCGTTTTCGGTGCTTGCCGCCACTCGTTCAGATGGTTCATAGTACATGACGAGGACTGGGGGTGGCAGAGGTCGTGCGGCAGGGAGGGATGAGTCTCTATGTGGCAGAGAGAGGCGATGGCGGTGAGGAGCACCTTGTCCGAGGAACGGCGCGAGGAGCTCTGCGCGCTCCTGATGCGCTGCCGGCTGGGTCGATGCACGTCGGATGGTGACGGAGCGGGTGTACGTCCTTCCTGCACGTCGTTGTTCGCCGGACATGCTTTGCCCGAGTGCGAAGGTGCAGAAGTCAGCGCGGGTCGCCGAGGATGCGCGAGCGTCACGACCAACGTTGACAACGTCCGTTACGTCACGCACAGACCTCCTCTCTCTATGAGACACATCCCTGCATTCGACCCCTGTATGCATAGCAAGGGCCCGTGTGTGTGTGTGTGTGTGTGTGTGTGTGTGTGTGTGTGTGTGTGTGTGTGTGTGTGTGTGTGTGTGTGTGTGTGTGTGTGTGTGTGTGTGTGTGTGTGTGTGTGTGTGTGTGTGTGTGTGAAATGTCAGCAGTTCACCCTCGGGTATGTTCGTAAGAGCTACATACACTGAAATTTCGGGGCCCGGGGTTGTGCGTTTACGTGAAAAGCACTAAGGGACAATCTTGTCTGTCGGCAGCCGAACTTGTGATGGGACACCCTCGGAATCCAACTGCGTACTACTTGGCTAGCACGCTATTGGCATACCGACGGCTAAGGCCGAAATCGGTTCACACCTGCTCTTGCAGGTGTGAACACAAAGGATTCGCTGTATCAACTCAGCTGCTCCGCTTACACTTACCTGTGAAGTGTGAACAGCGGATTTTGAATCAGCGTTCTCTGAACGATATCGGTGTCGAAACACCGCTCTGACAGCGCTCACAGCTGCAAGGGGGAACGACTGCACGGCTCTCAAGATGGAATGGACCACGCCCACCGTCCTCTACGTCTCGCTCCTCTTCTTTGCAGCCGGTCTAGCCGAGATCGGCGGCGGATGGCTAGTCTGGCAGGCTGCGAGAGAGAACCAGCCGCGCTGGTGGGCAGTCGCCGGCAGCATCATTTTGATGATCTACGGCTTCTTGCCCACGCTGCAGCCGCTTGACGACTTTGGTCGGCTCTACGCCGTCTACGGCGGCGTCTTTATCGGCATGAGCTTTGCGTGGGGCTACCTCGTCGACGGCATCGTTCCTGATCGCGGCGACATTGTTGGCAGCATTGTTGCGGCACTCGGTGTGGCGATTGTCTTGTTCTGGCCGCGCGACGCTGCTTCATTGGCCACAATGAGCGAGCGTTCTACGAGCGTCATTACGCCGCTCGGCGAGTCGGCGCGCGCCACAAGGCGGAGTCTCATTTGATAGCGTCTGTCGGAGCTGGAACATCCTTACACATATGATGGCCATCTGATTGGGCCTGGAGCAACGCATGCTCGCCCGGCGGCCTCGGTGGCTTGGGACAAGTGCAGGCGTCACGGCGCGACCGCAGCCGCGGAGTCTCCAGGCAGTGGGAACTGATCGAGTTAGCGCTGCATCGTAAAATGTTGGCTGCGTTCGAGAACATGTGAAAGACAAAGAGGCTAGAGGGGGGCGAACTGCCAATCGTGGTCAGTACTGTTATGTATATGCACTCTGCCCCCTATGCATTCGCATCGTGATATGCATCCTTACCGATCCATAACCTTAGCGCCTATACATTTACGTATTTGCAAAATACGTCGCCCTCTCCCACCCTCTCGCGTCGCGGCGCGTTTGAATGCATAACACAGATACATAATACATAGGCGAATGGATGCGCATTACGACCGAGTGTCACAAAACTCCTATGAATTATGTATTATGCATTTGCATTACGCACTGGGAGTCCACATCGTGTGTTATGTATTACGTATTACGTATTACGTATTGTGTATTACGCACTGCCACTGGGAGTCAACATCGTCTGTTATGTATTATGTATTACGTATTATGCGTATTATGCACTACGCACTGGGAGTCCACATCGTCTGTTATGTATTACGTATTACGTATTATGTATTATGTATTACGCACTGGGGGACGTGGGAGTCCACATCGTATGTTATGTATTATGTATTATGTATTGTGTATGATGCGTCATACATTGCGCATTTCAGACAAGCACACCATGTGTGTGTGCTGGCTGCTACGTTTTATGTGCTCGCAGCGGGCACATGCACATATTATGAAAATATACAGCGACTCCATTCATTCATCAGTGGACAGGGACGGCAATCGGGGGGGGGGGGGGGGGGGAAACAACAACGGGCGGGACCCAGGCAGTCTGTTCCCGCATAAATGATAGTGAAAATAGGTTCCATTCGTGATATAGAGAGACGCGTTTGGTGTTAAGATTCCTCGATATCAGTTACAGTTTATCAGCGTTTTGGACACCGGGACGGCGACGCCGATGCTAGATCCCAACATGAAATGAAAAAATGAAATGACATGCGATGTGATTTCTCTCTGCGACTTCGTGAATATTCAGTCTCTCTCTGTCTGCCGCTCGCTGCCCCTGGCACGCGAGCCGCTCGCCTCGCTCGTCTCCGCCCCTGCCATCTGTCTATCCTCGCGCGGCTGCCGCGCTAGCGCCTCCGCTTGTTCCGCTGCGGCCTGCGCGCGCAGCAGCCGGTTCAGCTCCTCGAGCGCGTCCGCCTCATCCTCGGAGAGGCCGATCGGCCGCTCCGCGCCGTACTCCAGCGCCTCCTCGGCGAGGCCTCTCAGCCGCTCCGTCTCGCGCAGCTCGATAATCTCGATCGTGTCCACCTCGCTCAGCCCGATCGGGATCTCGGCGCAGCCGGCCGTCTGCGCCCACCCCTCCTCGGCCAAGGACGCGAGCCGCACTGAGGAGCGGAGCGCCTCGAGCTGCGCCGCCTCCTGCTCGCTCAGGCCGATGGCAACTTCAGACGACATCGCCTCGGACGCAATGGCGGAGAGCGCCTCGCTACGATCCCGCTCCGCCTGTTCCTCCCGCCTCCGCTCTGCTCGCTGCAGCCACTTCGCCGCGATGACGTCCGCCGCCATCGTCCGCCAACGCGCCTTGGCGCGGGCCGCTGCCGCCTCGTCCGGCCGCGGGAGGCAGGGCGGGCGGAGGCACAGCAGCAGCTGCCGCACATCGATGCCGAAGAGCTCGCTGCACGAGTCCGCGATTCCCGGGCCAGGCCCACAAGCGAGCGCTAGTGAACGCCCAGTCCCTCCGTCCGTGCGCGTGTGTGACGAGGGAGAGCTCGCCGGCGCTCGCTACGCGCGCGTTTACGGCTTCGCTTTCTTTCTGTCGGGCTTCACGGCGGCGACTTGCGGAGCCTCGACGTCGTAGAGTTCCACGGATGCTTTGTGCGGTCGCGGCCCGCGACGCCGAGCAGTTGTCTATAGGCGTCGAGGTCCGGCGCGACCTCGCCGCCCTTATTGGCGGTTCCGGCGAAGCAGGCGTTCTCGAGGCTCAGCGTAAAGCCGCCTTCCAGGACCAGCGTTAGTATCCCTTTGCCGTCCGTCCCGATGGAGTGATGGTACAAGTTGTCGAGGAGGTACGGGGTGTTCGCGTCACACGTGTCCCCGCCCCGGTTCGAGTACCGGAAGCCCGGGCAGCGTCCGTCGATCGCGTCGCAGTCGAGCGTTAAGGAAGCCTTGTGCGTGTGGCCCATGCCCCGGGCGTCGCTATATGTCAACCCAAAGATCTCGTTTTCGTATTGGACGCAGCCCTCCGCCGCGGCGAGTTCTAGGATCGTGTGCCAGAGCGAGTACTGGTCCTTGAACGTGCAGCGGTTCGCGAACCAATTGGCGAAGAAGGCCCTTCCGGTTCGCGAACCGCGCGCGTAGTAGAGGTTTGAGGAGACGTGCCACCTCATTCTTCCCATCTTCGAGCCGTCCCGATCTACCGGGTGGAACGACACGTCCGAGAAGTTGTTCTCGTGCTCCCGCGGCCGCTTCGACGTGATCCAGGGGTACCGCGCCACCGAATCCAGGTCGACGTAGTACAGGCCCTTTATCTCGGGATGAGCCAAAGCAGCAAGCGTCGCAGGCATCTTGATGTAGTGGTTCGAGCACTCGTCGGCCGTACGATTGCCGTCGTAGTAGCTCGTGATTCGAGGTCGTGATAGGGCGATGGTCCGCGACTTCATCTCCGCCGAGTGCAGACACCCCTCCGACGTCGGTTTGCGTAGCGCCGGCGGGAGTTCGCCGAGCCAAATCATGGGGCGCATCCCCGCGTCCGTTGCGAAGAGCAGCTTGTTGAGGAACGGTCCCCAGAGCCGAAAGAGGTACGACGGCGCGTTCGCGACCATCAGGAAAGCGACCTCCGAGGTGTTCCGCCTCGCCGAGGTTTTGGGTACGTACTCGCATAGCGCCGGCCGCGTCACGAAGTGATGTACGTTCTTTGCGTCCACAGTGTCGATGGTTGCCGTCGTTGAAGACGAGGGTGAGCCTCGGCCCCGCGCTACCGTTGGCGAGACCGACGCGATCAATCTCGATGCGACAACCCACGTCGATTGGGCCGAACTCGCGCATCCAGTCGCAGTTTGGTGCACCGCATCGCGTCACGTCGCCGCCGCGCGCCCATGACCTCGCGTACTCGTCTTGCGGCGAGCCCGGTGCGAGAGCGCGACGATACCTGTGGCCGCGGCCGCTTGCGCCGGAGACTTGCGGTGAGCCCTCGGCGGGCGTAAGGCGAGCGCACGCCATAGCGAGGCGCACGTCATCGTGGTCGTCGCGAGCACCGCTAATATGAGAAGAGCGCGCTGCATCGCGTCAATTAATACGCATAGCACTGTGGCGGCTCAGGTCAAGAGTGGTTTTGCCCATTTCTCTGAGGTTTGGTTAGGTGAAAGGTAGGTAGGTAGGTAAAGGTGAAGAACAGTCTGGAGAACTTCCCCGCACGTGCAGAGAGATAAACCCAGCGTAACATGTCAGTGTGGCTCACGCCGACGCTGCTTGTCTTACTGTCCCTTCTCTCCGCCACCGCCGACACGTGCGACCCGGAGCACGAAACCTGCGAATGGGACGGCGCGGCGCCTCGGCAGCAAAGCTCATCCACCGAGGCGGACAATCCGAACTGCGTCGGATGGGCGGCAGCCGGTGAGTGCAGCGCAAACCCGGTGTACATGGCCGCGGCTTGCGCGCAAGCGTGCCGCGGCAAGCTTCCGGAAGGAGCGACGGGAGCGCAGCAGCAGACAACGACGGCGGTGGCATCCGCGGCTTCAGCTTCAAAGGACGCCGACCCGCATTGCCCTCTGTGGGCGTCCAAGGGCGAGTGCGAGAAGAATGCGGCTTTCATGGCCTCCAACTGTGCCACGGCATGCGCCCGCCGGCGCGAGGAACGAAGAGACAAGGACCCGCAGTGCGCCGCGTGGGCTGCAGCCGGCGACTGTGACACGCGCGAGGCCTTCATGCGGCGGACTTGTGCAACCGCGTGCGAGAGAGCGCTCGACGACCAGCTCGACGGGGCGGAGTGCGCTGCGCTGGTTGCGAAGGGAGCGTGCTCGACAGCAGGAGGGCTGGCGGCGTGCCGCTCCAGCTGCCTCGTCTCGCTGCACGCCAACCTCACCTCGGACACGGTGGGGGACACGCGGGCACGGGTGGCACACCTGTCCGCTCCTCCACTGCCCATTGGTAATGTCCGTTCACAGCCCTCGTGATTGAGAAGAAAGACGGCGATCCACAGGAGGGCAACTGCTGGTACTGGGGCACGGACGGCGAGTGCGACTCCAACGGCGTCTGGATGCGCGAGACGTGCCCGCTGTCGTGCGCCAAGCTCGAGGCGTGCGGCGCGGAGCCAGAGTCGCCAGAGTGCGCGAGGCCCTTTGAGTGCCCCCCGGCGAGAGGTAGCCGAGAGGCAGCCGAGAGGCAGCCGAGAGGCAGCCGAGATGCAGCCGAGACGTGTGGAGACGCTTTCGCTCCCTTCCCTGGCCCGTATCACTAGGCGAGAGACCAGCGTCAGGACTGCATCCGGCGAGCGCTGGCCGGGGAGTGCCGCGCCGGCGGGACGGCGGCGTCGGCGTGGGCGCCCGAGGGCGAGACACGCTGGGCTTCCTCCCACATGGTCAAGAAATGCTCCCTCTCCTGCCACCTCCTCGACCCCGCCTCGGTCGCGCGTGCTGCGGTCTGCCCCCCCCCCCCGCCCCCCGTTCGGCTACAGTCAATCAGTTCTCAGCCTGTTAGCCAAGGTAGCTCTCAGCCTCGGTTCTCAGCCTGTTAGCCTGAGTAGTTCTCAGCATTGTCCTCCTGCTCCACCACCCCGCACAGGTCCGGCCGCCGGTGCGCCCCTCTCCGCTCGTGGACGCGCCGCCGCTCTTCGCGCTCCGCCGCCGCCACTCCCCCTCCCGCTGCGCGATTGGGCGGGACAGCGCCGCGCTGCTTCGATGTGCGAGGCCCCATTCATAAGTGAGTTGTTGTCGACGTGTTCGTAGGCGCACGGCGCCGCGCTGACGGCCGATGCGCCATTCATTACTCAATCACTGCCACCGTTGTCTGTAGGCACGGCGCCGCGCTGCTCGACGGCCGATGCCCCAGCAGCAAGACCAGACGCCTCCCGTGGCGCCGCGTCCGGTGCCGCGAGGCGACCGTGCGCTTTGAGAAAACTCTGCTCACCTCGCCTCAGCTCGGGCTCATCTCGCCTCACCTCGCCTCATCTCGTTTTCTCTCGCCTCACCTCGCCTCACTTCGCCTCACTTCGCCTCATCTGGCCTCGCCTCACCTCTCCTCTCCTCTCACCTCATCTCGGGCTCATCTCGCCTTCTCTCGCCCCCCCTCCCCTCACCACCCCTCACCTCGGGCTCGCCTCGCCTCACCTCGCCTCACCTCGGCTGCACTAGGCTACATCTCCGCCGCGGATGACCCCTCGGCTGCCGCACCCTCGCCCCCTCACGCCGCCGGCCGGGGAGGAGGTGGGGTCGGGAGAGGGAGACGGCGCGGAGAGGGCGTGGGAGCCGTCGATGCTGCGGGTGCAAACCATCCTCGCGTCGCCGCGTGTGCGGCTAGTCCGCGGCATCGTCACACCGGCGGAAGCGGAGCAGCTCATCGCGGCGGCCGGCTCGCGGTTCGCGCCGTCGGGCACCGCCCGTGCGGGCTCGGTGGCCTAGAAGCAGGAATACGCCAACCTCAGGGCACGAGTACGGCATTGTGCAGCGTATTAGAGCACCGCGCGAATACAACGGAGAGGAGTACAGTGGATACAGCGGAATACGACCGACTACGGCCGAAGACGTGCCCTCTCCAGTGCTGGTTGGGAGACATGAACACGTATTCCGCTTCTAGGATCGGTGGACTACCGCACATCTGAGACGGCGATATGCGGCTCGCGGCCGCGCCTGATCGTCACCGCCATCTCCTATGCACCCCCGTCGTCGTTGCTGACTAGGCGATGCTGCTTGCGGCCGCGCCTGATCGTCACCGCCATCTCCTATGCACCCCCGTCGTCGTTGCTGACTAGGCGATGCTGCTTGCGGCCGCGCCTGATCGTCACCGCCATCTCCTATGCACCCCCGTCGTCGTTGCTGGCTAGGCCATGCTGCCTGCGGCCGCGCCGGCGGTTGCGGCGCTGCGGCAGCGCATGGCGCACCTTATGGGGTACGGGGAGACATGCGGAGATACGGGGAGAGATGTGGGGAGATACGGTGAGATATGTAGGGAGTTAGGGGGAGATATGTAGGGAGATATGGGGAGATATTGGGAGATATTGGGGAGATATGGGGAGATAGCGGGTCGTCTCTCCTGCGTGGCGTTGAAGCCCAACGACATGTTCCAGCGACATGTCCCGGAACCTTCTCGGAGTTGTCCCGCCAGGTATCCAGACGCGACCCTCGAGCCGCTGCAGTGCGTGCGGTACGTGCCGGGGCAGTACTACAAGCCGCACCACGACTTCTACAACGCTTGCGAGACGTGGCTCGAAGGCAACCGGCACTTCACCTTCCTGGTCTACCTGCGGGCAGTGCCGGGCGGCGGGGGAGAGACGCGCTTTCCGCGGCTCAACATCACCGTCGACGCGACGCCGTACGCGGCGCTCCTCTTCAACAACTGCCTCGACAATGGAGAGCCCGACGAGCGGACGCTGCACGAGGGATTGCCGCCGCTCACCGCCACAAAGTACGCCATCAACGGGTGGATGCACTCGAAGGCGTTCTCCGGCGCGTCGCTCGACTGAGGAGTTTACATTATTTTTACCAAAAAGCCGGGCTACACGTTATAACAGTAGAGTAACACGACGCCCTAGCCTTTACGCTGGGGCGTTTCGTCGACACGTGTGTTTGCAACGCGTGGCCACGCACTCGTCCGATGTGAGAATGAAACTTGGAAGGTTTGCGGCGCGTCTCTTCGCGGCGCTGCGGTCTCGCCACGATTCCCGACGTGCGCAACGGGGGTGCGATGTGCGCGCAACTCCCGACGTCCGAGGAACGCATGGCCATCGTCGCCGTGCGGCGGTGACGACATCACATGCGGTGTGGCGCACACGCTAGCTGCGGCAAGAATGCGATCCGCGCCTCTTCCCAGGCGTGACACGCCACACCACACATGGCTGATGTGGCGATCCAACGGCTCGCGGGCACGCGGCGCCGCAGGCATTCCCGCGGCGGGAACGCAGCATCGAGAGAGAGCGCGCGCGAGAGAGATGCCTCTCTCCGCCTCTCAGCGCCGACGAACGCCTGCGCAACAAAACTCTGCGCCCGCGCACGCGGCGAACCGTTCACTTCGTGACAGGCAGGCCGAGGCGTGCGGATCCAGGCTCCATGCCTTGGCGGGTTACTGCATCCATCCTCGGTGCGACCCAGGGACCTGCTGCCAGCTTGCGGGTAGTCTGCGTCTGGCGCCTCCTGTTGCACCGTCGCTGCTACTATTCCTGCACATTGAAAAGACGGGCGGCTCGACGGTTATGGAGTGGCTGGCGCGGAACGTGCGCCCAAGAGACGCGCTTGCGAGGCGGCTGAGCATGAGCGTCAGATATCCCGACGCCGAGTGCTTCATGTGCGATCAATTTGGCCTGCTCGACTGCGGTCGCTCACCAGCGTGCAAGGCCGGATCGAGAAATTTCTTCATGTGCAACGGTGCCCAGTTTTCTCGCCCCTCATGGGACCAGCTCCAAGTAGCGGTCGAGTTCCACGCATACGCCAAGGCCTTTTTCCAGTCGACTGTCGTTCCTCGCCTCGGGGAATTGCGAGCGCTCTATGAGGGGGCTGGCGGAACTGTGGTGGTCATGACGCTGCTCCGCGAGCCAGTATCTCATCTGATCTCAGTGTACCAGATGTGGCCCCCTGTCCGGCCATACGAGAGCGAAAGAAATCGCCTCCCCACGCTGGACTTTGCAGCTTGGGCCCGAGGCACTGCGGGCGTGCAGGTTGCCGCTTTGGGCGCGCAAAATTTGCTGCGGATGACGCCGATGGTTCGCGGGATGCACACTACCCGATCCTGCGCTGGCCAGGCGCGTTGCATCGAAGCGTGTGACCACCTCAGCGAGGCGATCAAAATGCTCAGCCTCTTCGACGTAGTGGGGACCCCCGACTGCATGCAGAGCGCCCTGCTCGCGGCCGGCGCAAAGCTCAGGCTACGGCGCGAATCATCCAGCGACGGCTGGCTGCGGATGAGCTCGGTTGCTGGCCGCCTCCGGCCACGAGAGCTGATCCGAGAGTCGCCACGAGCGGTGCATCCGGGACAAGCAGTGTACGAAGCGAGCCGCGTTCGGTGGGAGCAACTGAACGCGTCAGCACGTGATGAGGTGCTAAACGTTGTCGGAAGATGTGACCTCGCTCTCTACCGAAGTGCTCTGGAGCGTGCTGAACAGACGCTGCCCGGACGCCGCGGACAGTGCAATCAGACGCGCACACCCGTCCGCTCGAGTCTCGCGTGAGGTCCTGCGGGGGCGCGGAGGTTGCCCGGGATGGCGACGAATTTCTGGCGACTTTTGCGTCCTCGGGTGAAAGCTCTAAAATGAACTCGGAAAAACCGTTACAACTACACTCCGAGACCTCGCCACACGCCAGCTGTCACACTCACGCGCGCCAAGATCGACGCCAAGAGGTCCTCACGATCGCCCGGAGCGCCGAGGTCCTCACACTTCTCACTTGCGAGCGACCTCCTCACGGATGGGAGAGGTCCTCACGACGCAGTTCAGGGAGGATCCGCCGCAGCATGCTCGCCCCTAGCTACGCCGGCCCGCGTTGCATCCCCCCTTCCCGCCGGCTTCCTTCCTTGTTTTTTATTTCAGTCCGACCAGCTGACCGCGAGCGCTCCGCGCTACTCGCCCGGCCGGGCTCGAACCCCAGACCACTCGACCAAAAGCCGCCCACTCCCCGCCGCAAGCCCTGCAGGCATTGCTCAGCTCACAAATCAGCACCCTATATAGTATGAAAATGAATCCCGCGCGTCTCGCGCCCCAACTGACAACTCATCATTGTCCCTCGGACACCACTCTCCAGCCGCGCTACCTTCGCCCACCTACCGCTCTCGCATGACATCTCGACAATCCTCATATCTCCGGGCCCAATACTCCTAACCACTTCCCCTGCTCGCCCAGGACCACGAAGCGCCGCCCGCGCGCCCATTGACCCCCCAATCGACCCACCTGCTATCCTATCCCTCAATTGCCACCCGCCAGATGTACTGCCCTCGCCCACCCAATACTCTCACCCTCCTGACCCGGACAGTCCAGGTACAGGAAAAGCGGGGAGCGGGGCCCGATCCAAGGAGCACCCCGTCGGCCCGGGAGGGCTGTGAATTTCGGCGCGGGCGGAAGGCTGCCTGCAGACGCTCAGCCCCCGCGGCTGAGCTGCCGAATCCTCCCGGCTAATCCCCTGACCTGCCGCTGCACTAGACGCCCATTACTTTAGATGGCGCGCGGCGCGGGCGGATGACTAGGGGAGAGAATGCGGAGAGACTAGCTCGCTGGTAGATGTGCTCAGCCAAGGGCAAGGGATGAGGGGAATGTCGGTCAGTGTGAGGGGTGCACCAACCGCAGAGCGTCATGTTTTGCCTTTGAAAACTGAACAGTTTTTCTCTCTCTCTCTCATGTCCCTGAGACTCAGAGTCTCTCTCTCTCTCTCTCTCTCTCTCTCTCTCTCTCTCTCTCTCTCTCTCTCTCTCTCTCTCTCTCTCTCTCTCTCTCTCTCTCTCTCTCTCTCTCTGTGTGTGTGTGTGTGTGTGTGTGTGTGTGTGTGTGTGTGTGTGTGATTCTGTGTGTGTGTGTGTGTGTGTGTGTGTGCTCTTTGCTAGACTCTTTCTCTACGAACAACGCCGCGGCTCCACGTGGAAAAGTGCTACAGATCACGCCGCCAAATCTGGCACGCCGCCAACATACCGCCGCCCCACGAGCACGACCGCCCCGCCCCCCATCTCTTGCTGCGGCTGCCCGCACGCGCTCGCACTGGCCGCCGCCTCGCTGGCCTAAGTGATGAACCGCGGAGGGTGAAGACCGAATAACAAGGCCGAGCTGGCCGTCCGCTTGGCGCCATAGAGCAATCCCACTCCCCGGACGCCAGGGCCGCGAGCGAGGTAGACGCCTCCCGCCGCCACTTTGAGCAACGGCCGCACCTGGGGAGGAATATCGGGAGGGGGGGTCTGGGGAGATCTGGGGAGATCTGGCCGCCACGTTGAGCAGCGGCCGCACCTGATACTCTCAAGGATCGGTGGTCAACGACCAACGGTGAGGTCGAGCAGAAGCGCGGCAGGATCAGAAACGGCACTGGATCCACTCGTGAGTTGCGTGCGGCACCTATCGGCTCCAGGTGAGGGGAGGTGAGGTGCACCTCTCCACGCACACAAGGTGGTGGGGCAAGGGCCAGCGAGGCGACCCTCGCGACTCCACGTCTAGACGACAGGAGCCCCACGGCATTGAGAGTGTCCGTTCTCAGTCATTCACACAGCGGACACCGTCTCGTGCCGCGCATTTGGAGCATCGCGCGGGCAAGGCACGTGCAGGTACCCTGCATCTAAGGCCTCGAGATCGGGGAGATGTGGGCAGATACGGGGAGTAGGGGGCACTCAGCATCTAAGGGCCGGCCGCCAAGCTCTCGGAGCCTGCAGCCTCCTCCTCCTCCTCCTCCTCCTCCTCCGCCGCCGCCGCCGCCGCCGCCGCCGCCGCCGCCGCCGCCGCCGCCGCCGCCGCCGCCGCCGCCGCCGCCGCTCCCTCTGCGTCCTCCGCCGCCGCCGCTGCGGCCCGCGCTGGCCCTCCCGCGCCTGCCGCCTCCGCCTGCCCGACCGCCCGCGCGTACGCCACCGCCGCCTCCACCGCCGTGTCGAAGGTGCCGAGGCGGCAGATCCTCCCATCCACCGCTTGCCGCGCCACGAAGGTTCCAGGGTACTGCTCCCACACGCCCTTGTAGCCGGTGCTGTTGCTGCTGGAGAGGTGCAAGCGCAGCCCCTCCGCCTCTGTCACGAGCGGCGCGGCGGGTGCAGCCTCCCTGTGCGTCGGAGGCGGCGGCGTCTGTTGCGGCGAAGCGGTAGAGCTGTCCGCTGAGCCAGCCGCCTCCGCCTCCTCCGCCGTCTCTCCCTCCCCCCCGCCTGCTGAGCCCTCCGCGTCCGCCTCCTCCGCCTGCTCCACCTCCACGTCCTCCGCCTCCGCGTCCTCCGTCGCCCCTGCCTCCTCCGCGGCCCGCTTTGGCCCTCCCGCCTTCCCCGCCTTCGCCCGCGCGTACGCCACCGCCGCCTCCACCGCCGAGTGAAAGTAGCCGATGAAGACCTGCCTTCCGCCCACCTTGTGCGACGCCTGGAAGCGGCCAGAGGAGCGGTGCTTGCACACGCCCTTGTAGCCGGTGCTGGTGATGCTCGAGAGGTGCAGCCGCAGCCCCTCTGCCTCTGTCGCCACCGTCGGAGTAGCCGGAGGCTGGTACTCGCCGACCGCACGCGCGTACGCCACCGCCGCCTCCACCGCCGTGTCGAAGGTGCCGATCCAGCCCAGCATTCCACCCACCTTGCGCCGCGCCACGAAGTGGGTACCGTGGCTCTCGCGCACGCCCTTGTAGCCGGTGCTGTTGCTGCTGGAGAGGTGCAAGCGCAGCCCCTCCGCCTCTGTCACGAGCGGCGCGGCGGGTGCAGCCTCCCTGTGCGTCGGAGGCGGCGGCGTCTGTTGCGGCGAAGCGGTAGAGCTGTCCGCTGAGCCAGCCACCACCTCCGCCGCCTCCGCCTCCATCCCCTCGCCGCTCGCTCGCTCCTGCTCCTCCCACTCGCCCTCTCCCACCTCTCGCAGCATCTCGTGCAGCGAGACGTCCTCCAGCAGCTCGCCGTCGTCGCACTGCACCGAGTACAGGCTCGACGCGCCGTCAAAGCCCACGATCTCGCCCGAGTACAAGGCGCCGTCAGAGTACTGTACAGCGACGCGGCCTCCTACCTGGAAGTGCCTCTCCTCCTCGCCGCCACCGCTACCGCTCCACCCGCCCTCCTCGCCGCCCTCCTCCTCGCCGCCACTGCTCCACCCGCCCTCCTCCGCCGGCACTGCCTCTGCCGCGCCTGCCGCCTCCGCCTGCCCGACCACCCGCGCGTACGCCACCGCCGCCTCCACCGCCGTGTCGAAGGAGCCCAAGTAGACCAGCCTTCCGCCCACCCAGTGCTGCGCCCAGAAGCGGCCAGAGGGGTGCTTGTTTACACCTTTGTAGCCGGTGCCGGTGCTGCTCGAGAGGTGCAGCCGCAGCCCCTCTGCCTCTGTCGCCACCGTCGGAGTAGCCGGAGGCTGGTACTCGCCGACCGCCCGCGCGTACGCCACCGCCGCCTCGATTGCCGTGCCGAAGGAGCCCAAGTAGACCACCCTTCCGCCCACACTGCACGCCGCCTGGTAGCGGCTCCTGTCCGCGCGCACGCACTTGTAGCCGGTGCTGCTGCTGCTGGAGAGGTGCAGCCGCAGCCCCTCCGCCTCCGTCGCTAGCGGCGCGGCGGCGGAAAACACGGCCGCCGTGCCTGCGGCCTCCGCCGCCTCTTCCTCCTCCGGCGCCCCCTCTGCGCCCTCCGCCGCCGCCGCTGCGGCCCGCGCTGGCCCTCCCGCGCCAGCCGCCTCCGCCTGCCCGACCGCCCGCGCGTACGCCACCGCCGCCTCCACCGCCGTGTCGAAGGAGCCGATGGTGACCTTCCTTCCGCCCACATAGTGCACCGCCTTGAAGCGGTTCCTGTCCGCGCGCACGCCCTTGTACCCGGTGCCGCTGCTGCTCGAGACGTGGAGCCGCAGCCCCTCCGCCTCCGTCGCCACCGTCGGAGGAGCTGGAGGCTGGTACTCGCCGACCGCCCTCGCATACGCCACCGCCGCCTCCACCGCCGTGGCGAAGTAGCCGATCGAGACCCCACCCACCCTGTGCTGCGCCCGGAAGCGGCCAGAGGCATGTTCGAGCACGCCCTTGTAGCCGGTGCTGCTGCTGCTGGAGAGGTGCAAGCGCAGCCCCTCCGCCTCTGTCACGAGCGGCGCGGCGGGTGCAGCCTCCCTGTGCGTCGGAGTCGGCGGTGCGGTCGTAATGTCCGCTGAGCCTGCGGCCTCCTCCTCCTCCTCCTCCTCCTCCTCCTCCTCCTCCTCCTCCTCCTCCTCCTCCTCCTCCGCCGCCACCGCCGCCTCCTCCTCCTCCTGCGCCTCCTCCTCCTCCGCCGCCGCCACTGCCGCCTCCGCGCCCATCGAACTTTCCGCCTCCTCCGTTGCGGCCCGCCTTGGCCTCTTCGCCGCGCCCTCCTCTGGCCCGCCTCCATCCGCCTCCTGCGATGGGCGCACACCGATGTCGGCACTGCACAGACCGTGCCGTGTGATTAGTGAGCGTCGCGTGAACAGGCGGCGGTCATGCGGCGGCCATGGAGATACGGGCAGATACGGGGAGATACGGAAAGATGTGGGGAGACACGTATGGGGGGAGGGGGGGGGGGCGAGGGCCACGGACACAGCAAGCTTCGCTGCCACACAGCACAGTCGTGTCCTCCCGAGATTTGGCCGGAAGCCACGAACGATGAGCATTCACTGGTCAAGCATCTAGGACCCGCCTCGTCGCCGTCCTCATCCTCGGGGCGCCGCCGCTTTCCCCCTACCGCTCGCGCGTACGCCACCGCCGCCTCCACCGGCGAGTCAAAAACCCCCAAGGTGCGTTTCCTTCCGTCCACACGGGTTCGCGCGTGATACTGGCCGACCCGATAAAATGTCACGCCCGCGTAGCCGGTGGTGTTGCTGGTCGAGAGGTGAAGCCTCAAACCCTCCGACTCGGTCACCACCGTTGGAGGGGGAGGCTGAAAGCCGCCGACAGCCCGCGCGTAGGCAGCCGCCGCCTCCACCGCCGTGGCGAAGGTTCCAAGACAGACTTCCTTGCCGTCCACCCAGCGCTTCGCCTGGAAGCGGCCAAAGTGCTCGTACACGCACTTGTAGCCGGTACTGCAGCTGCTGGAGAGATGCAGACGCAGGCCCGCGTGCTTGTCGCCATCATTCGACATGATGGCTACTATGGTTGCAGGTAGGGACGAAAAAAGAATTTGGAACCCGCTCTCTACAGGCTCGACACAGGTGCGAACTGGCGCGTGCTAGCACTATCACCGGCACACCACCGGAGCCGCCTAAGCGACTCCGTTAAGAACGGCAATGCACTTAGCACCGTGCACAATGCCGCTGTCCCCGCACGCTAGCTCGTTCACCGTCTGCCACGCCAAGGTCTGCTCTTCCCGAGCAGCGAGCTCTCAGGTGCGGGCTCTCGGGGGGCGCCGACCAGCTGGTAGGGAGGAAGGTCGAGCGCGACGCCGCGGAGCCAGGGCAGCGCGGCCGGGGCTGGGACCGTGAGCGGCGATCGCGCTCCGAGTCGCCCAGCGACGGCAAGGCAGGACGACGAGGCGCGACGGCCGTTGAGCGGAGGGCTGGCGAGCAAAAAGAGGCGCCTCCGCCCTGCGAATGCGCGCCCCCCCCCTAGCTAGGGGTCAGGGCTCTCTAGCCCGTAGCCCGATCCCGATCATCCGGCCCGCTGGATGCGCTTCTCAGCTCACCGGCCCTGGATGTGAGGTTACCGACTGCACTCCAAGTGCTCCAAGTGCTCCGCGCGCAAACTTCAGAGGGACTCTTATGAGTTATGCTCTGCAACGAAACCACTACGTATCGAGAGTTTTCACGATCAGTTCCGTTACCGCGGCGAGCGGCCCCGCCGGAGGCGAAGAAAAAGTTTGCCATCTAGCGCTCTCTAACACACATTTTTGCACAAATCGACGCCTCCAAACATATTCAATAAGACTGGTCTTCACTGCAGCACAAGGTAGGAATGACAGGGAGTCGGGCTGCCAGCGCACCACCCTCCATGGTGCCATGAAGTCCACCGCCCCACAACACGTCTGCGCGGTCCACGCCAGCGTCCGCCGGACCCCGCCCCCATACCACGTGGGGGCCCACCTAGTCGGCCTCGTTTTTCTTTGTTTTTGCGGCGGTAGTTTGTCGGCGAGGTCGGCGCGAGGGAAGCAGTCAAAAAAAAGGAGCCAGCCGATTCGCTCCACGACCGCCCCACAATGCTCCGCCGAGCTCTGCGCTCCCGACCGCTGCTGGCCGCCGCCGTGCCTTCATCGCTCTGCTACCACCACAGCGCCTCCTGCGCCTCTGGCGCTCCAACGGTCCCGGCGACGCCACCAGAGGATGGTGACCCGATGGAGAAGGCAAAGCAGCTGGTCGCGGACGCGGCCGTGGCTGTAGACAGGGCGGCGGCGGCGATCGTGAGCACGCTCGGGCTGGACTTCACCGATGAAGACACCAAGCGCGAGCTCGAGGAGGGGCCCGCGCGCTACGCCGCCTACCTGCGCCGCGCCACCCTGCCGGCTCGTGGCGTGCGTGTGAGCGTCGTCTCTCCACGCTTGCATCGGTGAACAGGCGCCGGATCACGCAGCTCTTCCTCGTCAAGGGGCGGCTGATCGCGTACACGTCAGACATCGGCGAGTCGGTGCGGCCAGTGGTGCCTGCCTCTGTCGTCCGCCTGGCGTATGGCAACCACCGCGCCTGGCGTGCGGTCCCCGTGTGCTGTGAACGGCGTCTCGTCATGGGTGCGGCTATGAACAGGCATCCACGCTGCGCCTGCACGCCCACCACGTGCTGTGAACGGCGTCTGGTGACGGCCGGCGCGCTGTGAACAGGCATCACGTGGGCCTACGTCGGCGTCGATGTCGTGTACAACACCTGCGAGGAGAAGGCGAAGAAGGGGGCTCGCCCGGGCGGCGGCGCAGCTGTGAACAGCGCCTCGTCACGGCGGACAGCTGTGCACAGGCGTGCGGAAGCCTCTTGATGATTCTAGCTCTTCCCTCCAAAAGACAGGGCCACCTCGAATGTGTATAGTTCCCTGCCCTGCCCTGCCGCACTGCCCTGCCCGCACACTGCCACACAACTGCCCAGCCCGATCCCCTACCTGCCCGGCCCAGCGAAACCCACACTGCCCTGCCCGGCCCAGACCACACTGCCGAGGTGTGAATACCTGCCCGCTCGCGAGGTCTCGGAGAAACTTGGGGTACACGTACATAGAAGTGGTCAATGAGAGGGGAGGTCTAGAGGCTGAAAGGGGGGGGGGGGGGGGGGAGGTTCCTTTTGTCTGTCTGCACAGGCGAAGGGCTCGCCTCCGATGGCGGTGCTGAGGACCGGCGTCCACGCGCTCACCTTCCAGTCGATTGCGTCTGTGCTCGTGCCCTCGGTCATCATCCACCAGGCTCGCTCACCCTGGCGAGTCCAGAGCTACAGACCACGCCTGCTATTCACAGCTCGTGCCCTCGGTCATCATCCACCAGGATCGCTCACCCTGGCGAGTCCAGAGCTACAGACCACGCCTGCTATTCACAGCACAAGCTTTGCCGGGCGGCGTCAGCATGTGCAGCGAAACGCACCCCCCCCTCCCCTGTGAAAAGACAGTGAGGCGTGGTCTGTACTCGCCAGCCTGCTCACCCACGTGCACTGGGCCGTGCGCGTCGAAGATGCCGTGCCAGCTCCTGCCTGCCTGAGGGGTGTGGAGGCATCTACCTTGCCCCCACACCCCGCCTCCGGCAGGTTGTCCACTCTGCAGACAACTTGACGAAGCGCTTCCCAAAGTTCATGGCCGGCGGCATGGTCGCGCGCTGGCCAGCTCTCGCCGCCGGCCAAGCCTAACTTGAATGAGTAATGCAGACTCGCTAGCCTGGAGCCGTCTTATAGGCTGCCCTCGCTGGTCGGCCTTGCGTTCATACCGCTGATGCCGTTCATCGATGAGCCGGTCGCGTTTGTACTCCCCATATCTCCCCATATATCCCCATATCTCCCGTATCTCCCCATATCTCCCCATATCTCCCCCGTAGTTTGCCCCGAGAGTATCACAGAGATCACCCGAGATGCCGCCAGCCGCCGAGGCCGCCGCGAGGCCGCCAAGCTAGCGCGGGCACTGACCGCTCGTTGGGAGCTCCAGCGTTGAACTGACAGGGAGGGAGATTGAGAGAAGAGAGAGAGAGGAGAAGACGAGGCTCGAGGCGTCAGCAGAGCTCTGCTGACCTGCTGACCTGCTGAAAAAAGAAAAATAGGTCGAGCACCTCATCGACAAGGGCTTCGACAAGGCTTGGCCAAAGGCGGACGCGCCGTCCGAGGGCGAGAAAAAGAAGCACTGAGCCCCGACACAGCAGCAGAGACCTCTGCCCGAGGCACGGTTCTCGTGACCGCCCCGGCGGGACTGCGCGCCGCCGCATGTTGTACCATTCGTCTGCCCGTGGCCGCCCCCGTGCTACGGCGGTAAGGGTGCCTCTCGCGCAGCGAAAGTTCGCGCAGCGACCAACCATGTATGCGCAGTATGTGAGTGAACCTGTGTAGACGTCTAACGATGAACTAATGAGAGATCACACAGGTCGTGTTTTTGTTAAGGGTTGCCCCCCCTTGCCCCACCACCTCGTGTGTGTGGAGAAGTTTACCTTACCTTACCTTACCTTTTTGTTAACTGCTGGTGCTGCTGCTGCTGATCCTATTGCTGCTCATGGGGCTGAGGAGCTGAGAGTAAGTGCGTGTAAGACGGCACTCTCGCGACTCTGGCGAGGGCAGAATCGCCGCCGTCCCATCTGCTGCCCCGGCGCTCACGGTCGCGGCAGCGGGCGGGGTCGCAACGGCCAAGTCAAAGCCCGGCTGGCTGCTCGTGCGCGGGCGCGTTGTCTTGCGCAAGAGAAGCCCCACCGAGACGAGCCCGGCGAACAGACCGAGGCCCACAAGCACAACCCACGTGGTTGGACGGTCGTCAAGGTACGTCGTAAGGGAGGCGTGCGCGCCGCGGTCCGCAACACACGCCCGAGGTGTCGAGTCCAGAGAGACAAAATGTGGCCGTATCGACTGACCGCGCCACCCGCACCGTGTGCCATTGTAAGCGTCGGGCGAACGCAACCCTATGAAACCTGCGAGTCCGCGACAGGCAGTCGCGGAGAGGACCTGCGATTCGAGCGCCATTTGACAGAGCGACCGACGAGCAGAAGGCCCTCTTGGTGGAGATTTTCGACCGGCCAGACCGCATCAGCGAGGAGGCGGCCGAGTCGCTGTTCAAACAAAGGTTCGCCGCACGCGAGGGCAGCTTTGCGCGCAAGTATCGGCTAAACAAGGTGCAGATCAAGTCGTGGATGTCGACTGAAAAGACGCGGCGGGCGAAGAAGCAGTTGGCGGCCTTGGCGGACGAGGAGGAGGCTGCAGCCGGACGTGGAGCGGGCGGGGTAGGGCGCGGTGGCGGAGGGCGCGGTGGCAGAGGGCGTGGCCAGGACGGCGGGCGGGGCGGCAAGAAGGGTGGAGCGCGCAGCGGGCGCGGTGGGCGCGGCGGGCGCGGCGGGCGTGGCAGAGGGCGTGGCCTCGGCGGGAGCGAGAGCGAGTCTGGTGCGAGCTCCGGTGAGGACCCTGATGATGAGCGCGCAGGTGAGAGCGGCGGGAGCGACGACGACGAGAGCGGCGAGGAGAGCGACCAGTCACAGGAGATCCCGCAAGGCACTTTCCAGGTGGAGGACGTGGTGGCGGTACGCAACCGCGGAGATGCGCGCAAGTACTACATCAAGTGGGAGGGCTACGCGGCAAAGCACAACACGTGGGAGCCGGTGGCGAACTTGCCTGAGGAGCTGGTGAAGGAGTTCGAGGAGGAGCGTGCGGGCTACATGGAGGAGACCTCGTGCGACGAGTCCGAGGACGAGGGCGAGGACGAGAGTGACGGCGAGGCGCCCTCCGCACCCGCACCCGCGCCCGCACCCGCACCCGCACCCGCACGTGCAGGGAAGCGTAAGGCTCTGGCGCCGCCGCCGACACGCCCGCCAGACAGCAGTGATGAGGATGGCCCATCATTGCATGCGCCGGCGCGGGCGGGGCGGGGCCGGGGGGCCAAGCCGGCAGCCAAGTCCGCACGGCCATCAGCCAAGCCAGCAGCAGCCAAGAAGCGTCAGCGACGGTAGTGATTCGCACACTGCATGACGGTATGAATCGTGTGTGTGTGTGCGTAAAACTAGATAACATTCCCATTTTCATTAATAGCGGCCTGTTTGTCACAACACGTGCTGCAAGACACGGCGCAAATAGGAAGCAAGTCACATTATCTGGTGGACGTATCCCTCGACGCGAGCGTGGACGAGCCATGCAGTCACTCGAATTGCTTGGACCTCTCCTGCAAGTAGAACGAAACATTCTTGGAGCTTCCCCCTACATGCAGGAACGCATCTCATCCGTGGCGACGCGCTGAGCCACCGAGCCGTACTCGGCCGCGCCGCCGCGTCGAGGCACGGGTCCCCCGCCAAGCAGCGACGCCGAAGCGTCGACCGATAGAGCGCCACGCCCAGCAGTATGGGCGTCGACCGCTCTCTCGAGCGGCCGCGTGGTGGTGCGTGGCGCGGACGTCACGGGCGCAGGTCGAACAGGTCCTCCTCGCGCGTCATCCCGAAGAACGGCCACGCGTCGCGCCGCGCGAAGACGGACTGCAGCGGGCTCCCCTCCGGCGTCAGCCCGTCGAGCACAGCCTCGTAGTCGGGGTCGACGTGTGCCGCCCGCAACGGGCGCAGAAGCAGCCGCGCCGTGCGCAGCTCCGCCGGTGGCGCCGCCGCGAGCGGTGTGGCCGCGGCCGGCGCGACCTCCTCGTCCGGCCCCGCGAGTAGCTCGTGCAGCGGCGTGGCCAGCGTGGCGCCGGGCAGCGGCGACCACCTGTTCACAGCGAGAGGTGTAAAGAGACGCTGCTCACAGCCCCCCAGGCGAGCGAGGCGCCGCGCAGCACCCGTCCTTGCCGAGCAAGACGAGGCGCCGCCCCTCCTCCGGACCCGCCGCCGAGCTCTCCACGCGCCAGCCCGTCGACACGCGCCCCGCCGCGAAGCAGACGCTGCCGCCCGCGCCGCGGGTGTCGCGCGCGTACCCGAACCAGTCGCCGCAGACGACGAGGAGCTCGCCGTCGCCGCGCCGCGCCGCCAGCGAGGGCCCGCCGTCGAGCTTCGCCCACTCCTCGGTGTACTGCGCGGCGTCGGGCCAAGCGTGCTCAAGCCACACGCGTTCCTCCTCCTCCGGCGTGCTCAAGCCACACTCCATGGTGCCTGCGTCCTCCGTCGGGAGAGGCTTGCCCGACTCGGCGGCCCGCCAGCCGTCTGCACCCGCGCTGCCATCCAGGTTGAAGATGGCGTGCCAACGTATCACGCCGTCCTCCAGCGTGGACACCCCTGCAAACGCCTCCGCCGCCCGGTCGGTCACAGCGGCCGATACCTCGCTCGGATCGACCGCCTGTGCTGGCCAGGGCTGCCGTTTCTCGGCCACGCGGACATCGACAAAGGCGCTGGCGGTGCTGACGTAGCGCACCACGACCGAGGCATCCCTGGCACCAGGTGTGCTGCTTTTGAGCCCCGGGCGGGCGATCCACCGCCGCTCCCACACGACGTCGGCAAGCTCGGCAGGCGTGCACGGCCACGAAGAGGACATTCTGCCTGCTGGTGGAGCCGGAACAGCTGGGCGCGAGTGCGAGTCCGTTTTTCTTCAGTGCAGCGCTTGTCTGTCGTCCTCCACACCGCCGTGGCGTGGCAGACGGTGAACGAGCTAGCGTGCGGGGAGAGCGGCATTGTGCATGGTGCGGAGTGCATTGCCGTTCTTAACGGAGTCGCTTAGGCGGCTCCGGTGGTGAGCCTGTGTGTGTGCCAGTCCGCGCCAGTCCGCGCCCTTGTCGTGCCAGTGTGCTGTGAGAGAGGCTTGTATCTTAAGAATTCTTCAGGCGCCTCCGTTTCGTTCACGTGTGTCCGAGCGCCTCTTTCACAAGATGCCTCGCTCTGCAGGCACCGATGGTCCCCCGGGGGGGCTCAGTTGAAGATCGGTGGTTTTTCTTGCTTTCCCATGGGAAGTCTCCGACGAGGGGGTGCGGTTTGCGTGCGGTTTGCGACAAGGGACCATCGGTTTGTATTATTCGTCTGAACCACACGTGTCCCTCCATTCACACTCTCCCATGTTCTCGAGGTTCTCGAGGTGGATATCCTTTGGCCGCGTTGGGTAGCGAGGATTGGTGTAACCCGAGCCACGGAGGCGTGTTTTCTGACGGCCGACCGTCAGTGCACGGAGTTGCCCCTTCTCCGACTGCCCCGGCTAGTTCACGGGTTTCGCGGGAGTGACCCCATGCGTCAAACCCGAGACCACACCAACCCGAGACCACTCTCCCATGAGGGTTGGGCCGCCTGAGGAGGGCACTGGTTCGCCTTGCAATGAGTCTTTGTGGGTGTAATACGTCTGTGAGTTGCTACGAGTCTTTGTGTGTGTAATACGTCTACGAGTTGCTATGACAGCAGGGTTTGATTTTTTGAGCCCCCCCCCCCCCCGCTCCCCCCCTGGGTCCCCCCCCCCCCCCCGTCCTCCCTTTCCTCCTCTTCCCCTCTTTGTTCCCCTCCGTCCCAGATATAGCCAACCCCTCCCCCGCTATCCCCTGCAGGTGCAGGGGAGAAACACAGTGAAAGTTGATGGGCTTGCCCATCCCGGAGTGGTTCGATCCCACACATCCTCGCGGCGGTTGGTGTAGTAGAACATCTTGATGCCGGCCACGCGCCGATCGTGAAGGAACTCGAAGTCGTAATCGCTGTTGTACTTCTTCAGGCGGTAGTACAGGAGCTGAATGGAGGAGCGCAGGTGGCGGGCCCACTGCTCGGTGGTCCAGGTCCGCGCACGGACCGCCCCTTCTGGGTCGCTCAACACCGCCAAGACGCTCCGAGGGAAAGAGAGGGCGTGCTGCGTCAGGTCCAAGCAGCGGTGCTGGATGCAGTGGAACGTGTGCGCGGAGAGAAGGCAAAGTTGATCGACGACGCAGACACGCCCCTCGGGATCGTCATGGCAACCTGACACTGCGCCTGGTCAAAGGTGGCCATGCACTGCTCGGCGGGCGTCGGCTCTGAAAACGCGAGGAAGTTGATGCCGACGCTGGTCGCCATCGGCAGGCCGTACACGTTCTGCATCATGGTGTCGTCGCGCCTCCGCACCGGCTGGATCATCACGGTGGGGTGAGCGAGGACGACGTAGTCCTTCGAGGGCAGCTGCTCCGGCAGGCGGCGCACGGCAGGCCTGAACCGCCGACGGGTAATGTAGGGCGCAGCCTGGTCGCCGGTCCACGCGCCCGCCGCGCGCTCGCGGAGGGCGTGGGTGTGCCACCGAGTGCTGTGTGCAAATCGGTGCCGGTGCGCAAGCAACGTGCCAGTGCCCAGTTACGTGCCCAGTGAGCAGTGTCACGAGCAGTGTCACGTGCCCAGTGTTGTGCACGTCCCGGTGCGCAAGTCACGTGCCAGTGGTGCGCAAGTCCGGTGTTGTGCAAATTGGTGCCGGTGCGCAAGTCACGCACGTGCCAGTGTCACGTGCCCAGTTTATACGTGCCCAGTGAGCAGTGTCACGTGCCCTGACGTGCCCAGTGTTGTGCACGTTTAGGTCTTTTGTGTGCGACCGTACAAGTGAGAGAGAGAGAGACGCATGTTTTGACGTGCGTCCGTTGTCGCGCCCTGGCCGCTGCGCCCGCGCGCTGCGGCTGCTGCGTCGACTACCAAGGCCTCCCGCGGCGTCAATCGCCTCGCTCGGCTCACGTTCCATCTGTGATGGGGCGGCGAGGCCGGCGGCGACGGCGCACCGCTGGTGCTGCTGCACGTTCCCCCGACATCCTGCATGCTGACACTGCTCTTGCAGCGGTGACAGAGCAGTTGGAGGGCATGAAAGTGGCAGACGAGCGCCGAGTCGAAGTGCTGACTCGGCGACAGGAGTGGCGTGAAGAGCTGACGGCACAGCAGGTAGTGGTGTCTTTGGCCACCCGCATGCAAGCTGCAGCACGCGGCCTCCTCACTCGTGCCGCTCTCAGGCGCATCAACACCCTTGTCTCACCCGTCAGGGGCAAGATGTCTGGCCTTTACCTCAACCGTGTCTACGGCGACCGCCCGGTATACTTTGCCTACTTCAAGCGTAAGACTAAACTTCCTCTCCTCCCAAGGGAAGTGCTGACCCGATTTCCAAATTCACACATCGCGGCCCCGGCCATGCATGAGCAATCAGTGAGTGCCCTACGAGTGCACTCAACGACATCATCCCTGAGCGTGCATGCTGACTTAATCGCAGATGCCTCTTCGGAGGCAGGTTTCCGGACGAGCAAGTTAGCCGCCCCTCCTAGCCAAATTGGTGGCGCGCCCCTTGCTGCCCCGCGTGGGCACTTGAGCGGCAATGGAGCGGGCACCCATGGAGACGGTAAGAAGAAGCCGTCAAACGCAAAGAAGAATGCAACACGCCAGGCCGCTGCCGCCCAGGCTCGGGCCGAGAGGGAAAAGGCCCTCGACTTTGCTCAGGGCGCAGGGCAGGTTGACGGCGTCTGGTACCTCGACTCCAAGGAACTGAAGCTTGCACTCGACAGGTGGGAGCGGAGGAACGACTCCGACGCAAGCTCTCTCCCACAATCTCTCGCACAATCTCTCGAACCCAGTGAGCGCGGCAGTGATGACTGCCCCATCCTCTCCGAAGATTCGTTCACCGGCTTCTCCGACTGCGCTGATTGGTAGGGCCCCCAAGGGCCTAGAAATCGCACCTCCCTCTCCCTTGTCTCCCAGTAGCTAAAAGACGTACGTACAAGTGTCGAGCAATTCCGTGCGCGAGTCTCGCTCGGCGAAGCGGAGGGCGTGGGTCCGCGGGCTTGGGGCGCACCCCACCCCGCTCAACGCAAACACTTCTCGCGGTCCTCCGCGGTCTTGCGAAGCATCGCGCGCGGCGCGGCCCTGCCGTGCGCGCGCACTTGCGCCTCTCATGGGGACTTGCGGCTCAGCGCATGCGCTTGAGCATCAGAGCATGCGGGGTCACAGCTGGGCGCCTCTCCGAGCAAACGATGCAGTGCGCACGCGCTTCACCGTCGACTTGATTGCGCCACAGCTCGCCAACGCAGCTGAGCTGACGGGGCTCGCGCGTCTCACCGCACGCACGCCATGCGCATTCAGCGAGGAGATCGCCCGGATGACTTGGTTCTCGGTCACCCCACCACATGCTGCGACCGCGCTGCGGCTCAGCACGTGTGCGCCGCATGCACTCGAGTGGGTGTTCACACTTGTGCACGGCGAGTGCAACGCTGAGCAGCACTTGCTCAGCTGCAGTGGGGCGCTCGACGCCGACGGCGCGCACGAGGCAGGGCCCTCCTCCCCGTGCACCGAGCGCCTCGTTACAAAGCTCCCTGCATCGCCCTTGTTCCTCGTGGCCTGGCCGCCCGCGCGCAACGCCACTTCAAAAGTGACGTTGCATGTGCAGTACGACGTGATCGACACGCAGCATATGCACATCGCCTCGGAGGCGGCCGCGCGAATCGGTCTCGGCGCAGCGCGCTCGCTGCCGAGTGAGTCCGTTGTCGGGGGCGCCGCGCTGCTGCTGTTCGTGCTGCTGTGTACTGCCGCGCAGTGCTGCGAGCGCCCCCTGCGCCGACGTTTGCTCGCATCAGCGTTTGTTGCGTGGATCTCGTTGCGCGTCGAGCGCGTGGGCGGGCTGCTCTTCGTCTCGGTGCCGCTCGTCGGCTTCCTGCGAGTCGACGTCGCTCTGCTGTCGCTGCTCTTCGAAGCCGTCTTGGGCGCGCTCCTGCACAAGTTGCACCGCCGCCTCGCGCTCACGCTCGCGCTCGTGGCGATACTCGTCGCGCGCTTCGCCCCGCTCACGTGGTACAGCACGCGTGGGGTGCTCGCTGAGTTGCCCAGCTTGGACGCCTCGGTGCACGAGATGGTGGAGATGCTGCCGGTGCGTACCATCGAGCAGTTGGCCGCGTCTGTGCTCGAAAGTCGGCCGTACTGGACTCTTGCGCACGTCGCTCATGGCCTCCCCATACTGCCTTACTTCAGCCTTGGCGTGAACAGCAACCATGCAGACGACGATGAGAGCGCGAGGCCGTTCTGGTCGCAAGCGTACGGCTTCCGCGCACTACCCGGCAATTTCGGTGGGCGTGCTCTCGGTGTGGACGGACGCGTGCACCGTGAGACGAGCCGTGCGTTCATGCGGGCTGCAACGTGGTTGCAAGCGCCGTTGCGCACGGCGCTTGCCGCGGCCGTCGGCGTCCCTCGCGAGCGCGTCGTCTTTGGCGGCGAGGGCGCCATTTCGCACCTACGCGCGCCGGCCGCGCAGATCTATTTGCCCAATGTGGTGTGGGCGATGCTGCTCAACCCACACACTGATGCGCTCCAGCGGCAGCAGCTCCAGCGCGTCGAGGGCGAGCCGTGCAACGGCTCGACGCGAACCGCCTTCCTGCTGCCGCTGCTCACGCCGCCGGGCACCGGCCTCAGCTGGTGGAAGGTCAGTGCGGATGGCGAGGTTGTCAGGCATCAGACGATGTACACGCGGGGGAGCCTCTACTCATGGCCGCTCACGCTCAAGCACGCACTCAAGCCGTGGCCGTATGCCGAATGGGATATCTCCGCCACACGCATGACGATGCAGGCCTTCGGCGTGCGATGTGGCGCGTCGTGGTACTTTTATCACTAAGTGTGAGAGATTTGATGCTGTCGTGCGGTGAGAGGCAAGGCCAGCCAGCTGCCAGCCGATCGTGGGTCGAACCCGCGACGGATAAACGTAAATTAGCGACGTTCGACCGGCGCGCAGCCGCGAGCCGGTGGGCGTAGCAGCCGGCACCGTCCACCACGGTGGCCCGGTGCGGAAATGAGAGGGGCAAAATTCAGCCTCAAATGGCGGCCTTTTTGACAGTCGTCCCGGCTCCGGCCAAGCCCCAATCGGGTCCTTTCATACCAGATCTGGGCCGAGTGAAGCCTGAGTGAGTAGGCACACGCCACGCGGGTGAGCACCGGATTCTCTCGGCCACTCACTTCCGTAGGTCGCCGCCTGCTGGCGCAGCGCCCGGATGAGCGCGGCGAGACGGATATCTCGAGGATTGCGGGAACGCACATCAACGATGAGGACCTAGGCGCCTATTCCAGCCGGAGGAGGCAAGGCTTCCCGTTGAGGCGGCATCAACGCCGCCCCAGAATGACATCGCGCCCAGCAGCGTGGATGGCAAGATCGAGGCGCAAAGCGAGATGTCGGAGGAGAGGGCGGTGGCGTACGTACCGTCGACACGGACATCGAGGGCTTTGCCGGCGAAAGGCGTTGAGTCGGAGATCAGGCGTGTGGCTTCGCGGTCTTTGACGGCGCTGTCTCCGAGGGACGGGTTATCCCGCGCCTTGACGAGCTCTGGTGTGCGCGAACCAGTCCTTGTGATTCTTGATGGCAGCGAGGTGCGAGCGCCCGCGGCCGCGGGTACGTGGATTTGCAAGTGCCATTGAGAATCGCGTCCGTAGCTGGAAGGGACTCAAGCTCGGGGAGCGGGACGCTCTTGGGGTAGAACTCAGTCAGGTAGCCGCCGCGAACGGTGTAGTACTTGTTTTTGTCGCGGGCGGCGCGCTTCTCGCACACCTCCTTCCAGTCCGAGAGGGCGGACTCGCAGGTGGCGATAGCTGCGGCGATGGCGGGGTACTTGGACGCACCTCCCTCGTCGAGGGCGAAGTCGGGGTTGCGGGCGACGAGGGTGCGCCAGTTCTTGAGGAGCGACATGGAGAAGTCGCTGTCGGCTCGCGAGAAGGCGGTGTCGATGTTGCACCCGCCCCATCTCGGTCGGCAGCTTGTTTTGCGGCATTGGTCATAGTGCAAGCACTGGCCCGGTGCACGTGGGTGTCCTTGCTCGTGCTCGTGTCTGCGCGTCGACTATTATGTGGTCAATCTCCTTCCCTGTGCGTCGCGACGCCTGTTGCTGTTCCCAGCGACTCCATTTGTTCGGTCTCCAGCAAGTAAACCATTTCCTTGTCCGCCGTCCCCACTTACTTATTCCCGCCCTCTCTCCTCCACCCATTTCCGCGTCACAGCATTCATGTTGCCGATGATGAGCACCCTCTCGTGCATGTCGTGTCGTATTACGTATATCGCTTGTTTGAGCTCCTCCACGCCTCGACAATTTCGTCATTGCTCTTTCCTGTATCTGGCATATACACGCCGTACACGCTGATTCGGTGTCTGCCATCGAGTGTTTCGAGTATCACCCTCCTCACTCGTGCGCGGTGATTATGTCGACCTCCTCGCTCCTGGCCTGGTTCGACTTTGTTGAGCTTGTCGGTGTTCCATACGATGCTCGATGGATGGTCCACGGCTCACGCCACACCTCGATCCTCGTTCGCCCTCGTCCGCGCTTGGCGTTTTGTGGATCGCTGCTCGTGCCCGCCCCCGACATCGCTCCTGTCAGCCCTCCCTCTCGGCGTCGGCGTTGGTGTCGCCCTCCCTCTCTCTCGCCGCAGGCAATGCTGGCGCCATACCCCTCAAGATCCCATCTCCCTACTCGAGTACCTATCTATCTATCTATCACTGCATCTCGCTCACGTCCTCTGTCGTCGTGCTCTCCGAGATGACACCCAGGTTGCCGCTGGTCATTCATCATGTTGATTACGCATTGCCATCGCGTCACTAGAGGGCGTCGTGGGCGCGTGTTTTGCTCGTTTTAAAATTACAGTACATGGAACCGACGATCCAACAACCGGGATGTATGTATGTAGTAAGGTGAAGAACAGTCAGGCTCGGACTGGACACCAACGCGGTATGGGTGGACGCAACCGGGAATTCCCGTTGAATTCCCAGAGTTCTTCCGGCAAACTCCTCACGGTGAGCGCGATCAAAAGAGGCGCCACTCCACTTTCACCGCTACAACTTTTTCCTCCTCGTGGCGATGGCAATCGTGAGCGCAGTTCTGCCGCAAGTGGGACAAGACGCGGAGGACTTGGCCGACCGCGTCTGCTTGGCGCTTCTGCCTTCTCGGCGCGGTTCCTGCATCTGCATCCTGCAATCGGGTGCAGCTCACAGCTTTGGGGCCGCTTCTGTTCTGCATTCTGCATCGTCAGCACAGGATGCGGAATCGGGCTCAAAGCTGTGAGCTGCACCCAACGGACAAACTCTTTGGGTCTGATTTTGCATCCTGCATTCTGCATCCTCGCTGCATCCTGCACCCATGCAGAAGAATCCATTTGGGGGCCGATTCTGCATCCTGCATCCTGCATCCTGCACATGCAGAGTAAACATTTTGGGCTGGGTTCTGCATTCTGCATCTGCATTCTGCATTTTCAGAGAAATACGGAATGTAGAATCAGCCCGTCTATGCAGAGGCAAATCCATGCAGTCTGTGTGCTGCATGCTACAAGAGTGCCTTATAGAGCGCCACATCTCTCTGCGAGAGACCCCCCCGTCTCCCAGCAGCCCGCTGTCAGCGCCGCGCTGTGCGGTAATCGTCTAGTCTCTGGTCTAGAGGGTGTGGAGGCTAAGTTTGGAAAGGAAATCCGGGGACGCGACCTACCTCGCCACAGACGGTCCCGCGCCTCCGTCGCCACACGGCCCCGCCGCACACACGACCGTCCGCTTTGTATGTGCCCGTTTTTGTCCGGAGTGAAAAGTCCAACGCGCTCGTCGTCGGCGGCTTCCCCGGATTTCGGATCGCCAAGCTCGGCGAACCTCGACAGCGCCTTCGGTGGCATGCACCTCTACTTTGCGCCTGAATATAAGCGATATATCGAGAGATTGCAGACAGACCTCTGCCGGCACCCCACACGACACACGAGCGGGGACGCGATCACCACCGCAACTCCGACTCGCCTAATCCTCGTCGCCGTCCGATCCAGCGCAATCCGACTCATAGTCGGAACCCCCGGAGCAGCTCTCGTCGCTGTCCGCCTCCGCGCCGTCCAGGTCACCCTTGTCCTCCAGCAGCAAGCCGAGGTTGTTAATCGAGGCGCGGCAGGACGGGTGGGACGAGGAGGGAGGAGGAGCGTGTGCCGATGGGGCTGAAGGTTGCTGGCATCCTGGATGTTGCAGGACAATAGCTAACACTAGGCACGTCCTATGCGCCGAGTGCGAGGCGGTGAAGGGAGAGAGGAGGGAGCACTACCGGGCGATGAGGAAAGGCGCGGCGGACGTGCTCAAGGCGCTACGATGGACGCCACCGAAGTCAAGGAGGCGGACACTCGCCCACACCGCAGAATGCGAAGCCCAGGCGCTCGCTGTACGCGCCATTGCTGGGGCGACGAAGAGGTGCGCAGGGAGAAGGGAGAGCGACGAGGAATGGGAGGCGATGGAGCAACTGCTAGCTGGACGACTACCCGAGCCGAGTGTGATGGACCAGGACCCGCCAGAAGACATCATGAGGGAGTATGACACACGGGTGGTGACTTCACTCAAGGCACTGCAGCAGACGGCGGCATCAATCATCAAAGTACGGGAAGGGAAGAGGAAGGGACTCGAGGCGGAGAGGAAGGAACGAGTAGCCTCGGAAACAGAGCGCCTGAGAGAGGGACAGAAGGAAAGGAAGGAGAGGATACGAGAAATGGAGTGGGCGGCGAATGCGTGTATTTGCTGGCGACGGAGGCGACATCGACAACGTGATGCCGAGGAGAAGGAAAGGGAAGAGGCAGAGAGACGCCTCGAAGCGGGGAGAGGCAGAACGACGAGAGCGATGGGGATGACACTCAAAACGACCCACTGCGAGCTCGAAGGCGAAGGCCAGCGCAGGAAACGCGGTGACAGGAGCGACGACGTGGCGAGCGCCGGAGGGAAGCGACGACAGCGAGGGGACGAGGACGACGAGCAGAGAGGAGAACAGACGGCGAGCGGCGCACGCGAGGGCGACCACGCAGGAGAAAACAGACGGGACGAGGGGAAGTAAACGCGGCCCGCCAGGAAGCGAAGGCAGACGACAAGATACGTCGCCGGACCAGCGACAGGAAGCGCAGGAAAGCAAAAAGAACAAGACCAGGAGCATGGAGACGAGGGAAGGCGCGAGGCGCTCCGCCGACAAGCAGCAGAGGCGGCGGCAAAAGTAACGACGGCCATGCTAACGACGGGCGGCACGGTGGTATGGGCGAAGGTAGGCCCCTCTAGCATAGCGGAAGGGGAACTCGGCCTACTGGCGACGAGGGGGCTGGAGAAATTCGAGGTGTGTAGCATCTACACTGGGGAGATCTTCCGGACAGGAACGGCGCAGCCACCAGAGACAGTACCAGACGAACTGTCACGACACACGGCAGCAGGGGGGACGCAGCTGGATGGAAGTGACGACGAGAGCGGGGACGACTTTGACAGCGTCGCGGCGCGGTGTAAATTCGACTGGCCTGCAGCATCGAATGAGCCGAAACGAGGCACGAGGGCGACGCACTTCGTACGCTACGAGGAGATACAATTAGGCAAGGCAGCTGCGCACGGCGGGCACCGGACAAGGAGCATGCCGCGGCTCGATGTGTACATATGCTGAGCTGGAGCGCTTTGACGTGCTCAAAATCCAGTCCGTCGACACTGTCTCGCAGTCATTCCACGCGCGCTGCCTTCTCCAGCTTCGTGTGAAAGGAGCCAAGGACCGGAGGGAGTCCTTCGTCACCTTCAAAGACGGCGCCACCGAGTCTGTCGAGTGGTTTGCAGGGCGGATCGAGGTGCTCAACTCGTTTGAGCACGACTCGTGTAAGCTGATAGACGAGAAGCCAACCGCCGTCTTTTCCGGCCTCGCCTTCACCCTCTTCGCCGCGCAACCGTCGGAGCCTATGGAACGCCTATCGGTGCCGCTCCGGACTCCTGACCGAGATGTGTGCTCCCATGCTATCGTCACGGTTTCCGCTGCCGAGTTATAGGTCGCCTTCACGCTGCTCCTAACGATGGCGGCGTACAAGATCACGGTGGCGGGCATGATCCCGCAGGTAGCAGAGACGCGGCGGTTCCTGTGTGCACCACCCACGCACCGAAAGCCACCACGTCCTGACACAGGTGTCCTACGAGACCTTGCTTGACCAATTCCTGCTCTACAACTTTTTCCTCCTCGTGGCGATGGCGATCGCCAGCGCAGTTCTGCCGCAAGTGGGACAAGAGGCGGAGGATTTCGCCGACCGCGTCTGCTTGGCGCTTCTCGGCGCGATCTAGTGCCTGATCGAGAGGCGTGGTTCGTGGCCAAGGGCCAAGGCGTGGAGTCGAGAAAGGAGTGAAAGGCTGGGGCGGGTGGTGGCGGGCTCGTGATATAAACAAAGAAAACAAAACATCTCTACTCTGATCATACACACACTGTCCCAATGCTATGGTACGTCACAGTCACACCTCTGCGCACACACAGCGGCCGTGGTTGCGCTCAACCGACTCGCACCCGGCGGCCGCGCTCCCGCGCTCGTTGAACTCGACGTGCTTTTCCTGCCACACCACGCACCCGGGGAACTCGGCCTCGTCCGTGGTGGAGCCGATGTGGGTCAGCCGCATCGTCTGTGCGTACGCGAAGCACTCATCCCGCGAGAGCAGCCTAGTCGCAGAGTGCCAACAGCCGTCAGAGGCCCGCGGTGCCACGCGCGGCGGAACCTTCTCGGGACGGAGACGCCGCAAGGGGAGGGAGGCACGCGCGTCGCAGCCGCCGCCAGCGACCACCTTGTAGCGCGGCAACGACCCCGCCGCCGGCGTCACCGCCGCCACCTCCGGCGCAACCTATCAAGGATATCCGCTCCGCCATCCTCCGTGCGAGTGTGTGCGCTGGAGGAGGGGCAGCCTCAAAATCAATGGGCGCCGCTGGACTCGGCCAGCTCGGCACCGCGGCCAACGCCACGGGAGTCAGCGCCAGGGTAGCGGCGCTCCCCGCCTCCGCCGCCGGCAAAGGCACCTTGCACCGTCGCGGGTGACCCGAGGGTGAGAGTGGCGTCGGGTTCGACGCCTTCTCAAGGGGAGGCCATCATCGGGGCACGCTCTCCTGACTAGGCACGGGCAAGTGGGGGCAAGGGGCACTCCCATCCCTCCTGTATACGGGCGGTGGCTGTCTCTAGTCTCCGAAGGGGGGGCTTGAAGCTTGACTATTCCACTTCTTTTTCTCAAAGGGGGGGGAACCAGCCATCTCTCTCGGAGCGGCTGTGCCTCGGCGCGCCATCGCGACTCAAACTCCGCCATGGGCAGCCGGCGGCCAGGCCCCGAGCCCGCCGCAACGCCGTCGCCGCCGCCGCGAGAGCCGCCGAGCTTCCGCCGCCCGCCGCCGCGCCGCCGCCGCCCGCCGCCGCCGCCGCCGCGCCGCCGCCCGCCGTGCCCGTGGGGAGCCTCTGCTTCGCCAGTCGGCAGGCTGGGCGGAGGAGATACCCCGGCGGGCGGCGAGGGGGCGCGGAGGCGGTCGAGCTCTGCGAGCGCGACCGCGGGCGAGGGGAGAGGCACCACGGCCTACCGCACCTCCAGAGTACCGAATCCAGCGTGGTGGGTTCAGGTCCGTGGGCGGTGCGGTAGGGGAGAGGCACCACGGTATGCGTGGCGAAGACGACATCATGAGGGCGGGAGGGCGGTGTGTTGTGCACTGTGTTCAG